TAGAGTCATTAACAAAATGAAGTGCTTCTATGCTTAAATTCTCAGGATTACTTAGAACATTTCAACTGAAGAATAAATAATTTCATTGGTGTTCAGAATGGCAATGAATGCAAGAAAGTTTTTTTTTTTTTTTTTTTTTAAATTAACTGATCAGGTAATTTCACATGTGAGCTGTTGTGGTGATTTTTCTTATTATCTCCCTTATCATTGGTGTGTGGTTACTTCCCTTTTCATTAGATTGTTATATATAAAAGATGACAATTTTGTGTCTTTCTTACTACCATCATTAAGGTCCAACCTTTAACAGAAGCTTCCCAAATCATGAGCCAGCAGATTTAAAATGTATGCTGAACATCAATAGGTCAGCACTTGTAATTCATTTTTTTTCTAATACTATTCTCAGCCTGCTGACATTGGATACATTGTTATCATTTGTCCAAAATGACAGCCAGAATTGTCTTTATTCCTGAAAGTATTCTGCAGTGTGAGGTTGACCTGATGTGTCTATTACATTAGCTAGATATCTGTGACCAGTTAATGTTACCCATGACCAGTATAATGGGCTCATTATGACTGTTAAACCACCTATTAAAATGCACACATTTCATTTTTGAAACCATTTGCACATATTTTATTCCCTCTCATAGACTGCAAGTTTTTAGTCTTCCCTTTTTTGGTATTTATAACAACCTCAATTTCTCTACTATTCAACAGAACTGAAGATGCTGCTATAGCTAAAATGAAGAGTTAGTTACAAATACCAGTTTGATTACCATTTACTGAGCCCATGATCCTGGAGGAAGACAACGACTTGAATAAAACAGTTAACTAAATACAATTAGCCTAATTAACTAAAATAGTGATCCAATCTAATCACAAAATAGTTATAGAGTATGAGGCACAGTTTCTGCAAATAGGTGGGGAAGATAATGGTTAGCCCTAGACTTGAACAGGTTAAGATTGTAGTGGCCAGGAAAACATCCTTTTGGGAGTCGGTTCTACAGAGTAGCAGTTAGCAGGAAGAAACTACTCAAATAGAACTTACATCTCACCGATGGAATATGGAGGGTGGATTTTTTTATAGTGTGTTTATAGCATGGTAGATCTTAGCCATGAACATTAGAACTGGTGGAACTATGGAAAGTAGTTCATCTGAGCACTTTTCCATGGAAAATCACAAGCTTTTCTCACTATTGTTATAATAGTGAGAAAAGCTTGTGATATTTCGTCTGTGAGAAAGGGGGTTATAGGGTGGAAAATAAATTGTCACCCACAAGCACACAGAAATGCTTTTGGACTCTATTGAGAGTTGAAAGTGAAAACTCTACAGCTCCTGCCCATGTATGGCAGCAGTACTCCATTTTTGGCCTGATTTGACTCTTTCTTGTAAAGGCAGAGGATAACACAATGAGTCAAGTACTTACTGAAGCAGTACATGGAACCAACCATTTTTACTAACATCTTTATTGATGGATCATATGTACAAGCTCCACTTGAGGTCTGGGTTGAGTTTAAGGTCCAATAGTCACTCAAGGCATGGGGGGTCTCCCTGCAGAAACACCCATTCATCATGATTGGTGATAGTTTAGGGTCTGATCGGTGTTGATAGAATGTAACGGTTCACCATAAGGCAACTATTGTTACTACTTAATTGTAATTACACTGAATATAATTACTAATTGAAGGCAGATCTAGTGCAGTAATAGGTGAAGTTATCTTATTGAAGTTGTTAGTTATTATTCATACATTTTCTTTGAATTCTTTTTTACCATAATAATTATCAGTACTGTACATCTATTTATCAATTCCATTTAGTCAACTATTTTATTCAAGTCATTATCTTCCTACAAGAGATTTGGCTCAGTAAATGATGGTCTAGCCCAAATAGCATTCTTGTAATTTCTTCATCAAGTCGGTCTTGTTATCCATCCTAATGTCTTCAGCTCCATGTCTCAGCCTTGCTCTCTCCCAAGATCACTTTTGCTGCTCATTTGCAAAATTAAAAAAAAATTTCTAGACAAAAATATAATTTAAATAAATTTGCAAACTAACACTTTTTTTAATCAACTAGGCAATTGTCCCAATTGCCTTAGTGAATGAAAATATTGGTTCATGAATTTGGTAACAGTAATTGTAAGTTCAATCCCTGGGTCAGACAGTGTGTACTTTGAATAAAAATTAATAGCAATAAATAAGGACTAGACAAGATATTCCTTGACATGGGCAGTGGAATGAGAATACTTTGCCCCTGTAGATTAAATAAAGTGTTCAGTTTGAAATTACCTGAATGTTACCCAGCCTGATGTAGGTTCAACAGCTGAAACGTGAAAGCAAAAAAAAAAAAAACATACATTGGTCAAATCACTTCAGTAATTTCATATCAACCAACATACCATTTATCAGATAATAATGCTCTAAAAGCCCATATTAACCAACATGTTTCACAAGGATATCATTTACCAACCAATATTATCAGGTCATCCTATAAGTTCTGTCCAAATTTTGAATAAAGAAAACAAGTGACCAAATGTTACATTTAATTACAGATTCAATCAACAATGTATTTTCCCTGATTATCTATGACTTCCTTCCATCTATTAACAAGGTTACTAATTCCATTACTGCAAAATTATTTTGGCTTTGAATCGAAGAACTCACAAATGTCAGTTTTAACCTCTTCCTGTGTTACAAAAGCTTTTTCTTCCAAATGATTCTGTAAGCTACGAAAGAAATGGTAGTCTGAAGGAGCAAGATCAGGAGAATAAGGTGGATGACGAATTTTCACCCAAACAAGTTCTTCGATCTTTTGTGACGTGATTCTTGCTGTGTGGTGTCGCGCATTGTCCTGATGAAATATCACCTCTTTTCGATTCACTAGAACAGGTCTTTTTTTCCTCAAAGCTTGGTTCAAATTCTCTAATTGCTGACAGTATATTTGAGCATTAATTGTTGCATTAGGTGGTAAGAATTCAAAGTGGATTATTCCTTGGCAATCCCACCAGATTGAAAGAAGAACCTTTTGCCCATGAAATTCCCTTCTCGGCTGTGGCTGGGGTCCTTCCCCTTTACCAAGCCTCTGTCTACAATGCTTAACATTTCGATAAAAGATCCATTTTTCGTCACCAGTCACAAGTCTATCCAAAAAAGGTAAAACAAGTTGGTGAGAATGGAGAGAAGAGCAGATGTCAACTCAGGATTTGAGGTTGTTTTTAGACAATTCATGAGGCACCCATTTTCCAAGTTTAGGAACTTTTCCAAGTTGTTGAAGATGACGATGAACAGTTGTATGGTTTGAACTGAGAACCACTGCCAATTCCTCAACTGATAAAGCAGGATTTTCTTCAAGGGTGAAATCTCCACCTCTGAATTTTGCAAACCATCTTATGCAAGTTCTTTCATTCACACATTCCTCTTCATAAATTCAGTGAATGTTTCTAGCTGCTTTGGCTGCTGAGTTTCCTTTCTTGAACTCGTAAAGCATTATGTGCCTCAAATGATTCTTGTGTACTTCCATGTTAGCAGGGTTTTAATCAAATAAAATTTGATCAGTTTAAATGCATCTAAACATAAAAATAATGTTCAGCTCCATTAGACATTATAAAATACTCTTTAAATTTTGTTCATTTTAACAAAAAGTTAAAATTTGGACAGAACTTATGGGATGACCTGATAGGTTATATACAACATAAACTATAAAAAAGATGATAAAGACTACAAACATTGGAAGCCATAATCATAAAAGCAAATGGCCTACATTAGATAAAATATCTTTCAGCTTAGGAACTGGTGTTTTACATTTATGCACTAATTAATAAACATGCAAGCTCAATCTTTGTAACACTACAAACATAACATCTTTTATGTTTTGTAAGTAGCCTCCAAACCATGTCATCAGCATAGTCAAAACATAACAAATCTAGTGCATTCTTAACACCAAGTGTCATGATGGGAAACACATCAAGTTTTTTTTATTATTTCAAAGTTATTTTCAAACAGGTTTCACCCCTGCAGATTTTCCTGTATATGGTCTAATCTTGTCTAATCTTCCTGTGTATGGTCTAATCCAGTCCTTATGCACTCATGTGACTCTCCAGTCCTGCTGCTGACCCACATACATTGTCACAAAACTGACATAAATTTCCTATGAGTCATTGTTGATGACTATCAATGTAGTGTGCTTGGATTGTTTACCTTTATGACAGCTTAGATAACCATCAAGTCCTGCTTTGCATAAGATCCTATCACAAATGTGGATATGTTCAAACTTAAAATTATCTGGGATCGAGGTCATGTCAGACTTTCTAAGAGCCTGTTTCAAGATTGTGCAATCAACCTCCTTTCCCTCAAATGCCTGATAACTATTGTTTACCATTTTCATTCATACAGATCAATTTTCTGTCAGTGTTTCCCCAATAGCAAGGGATTTAAAAGGATTTTTATCATTCAACCACAGTCAGGATCATAGTCAGTGTAAACTCCATGATCCTTTCATTAGTTGCATAGTATGTGCTTCACCGGAGTTACATATGGTTTTGAATTCAGAGTTGTATTTCTCCTAGACTGGTTGCCAACCAAGGCTGAAGAGCCCAGCCTTCCTTACTATTTAACTCATAGCTGGGAGTATTCACAAAGAGATGGATTAATATTTTTCCCAAGGTTATTTGAAAACAAGTGATGATAATGAACTTGGCTCTCCGATTTCTCATAGCAAGCCACTATCCATTGTGTTACCTGCACATTCATCATAGATGTCCAGGTGATTGTTTTTAACAACATCCTTAAAATTTTGGTTTATATTTCAGCCATTTACCACATGGTAATTCTCTGTAAAATAAATTTATTTATCTGTCATCTCTCATGCTAGTAAGGCATCCTGTCCTCCTCATTTGGTTGTGCATGTTATATATATATATATAATACGTGCACACACACATACACACAAGTGGCAGTGAGAGTAAAAGAAAAACTGCTGCTTAATATATTGTCTTCTGTTTTCACAGGAACAGCTACGTGACCCTCATGTTGACCAAGAGATTTTAGAAAGCATTGAGGAAACTTATTACAGCTCAGAAGATTTTGATACAAGTGAATATGAACTTCAGGTCAGTTGACATATTTTAAATTTCTATAAAACAATCTTATTATTTGTTGGATCTTAAGTACTGTTTTTTATTCATTTTAGGAAATAATCTCTTTGTTATTAATTTTTATACTTTCTTCTTTTTCTTACTAGCAATCTGTTATTAATGAATGGGATTCTCTCGGTAAAAATTCACTTGCGAAAGACAAACAAAAATTGGGTATTGACATTGACAGAGAAGGGTGTATTGTAAAAAAGGAATGCTGGGGAGGAGACAAAAGATGAGCCTCTAAATGTGAGAGAAAAAATGGATATTACTTTGAAAGCAGTACTAGACAGGTTGAATACAGAAGTGAAAGATCGATTTACAAGGGGTGAGTCAGTTACATGAGCAATTTGGTTTTCTCTTGAATATTGAAAGCCTCATTGACTTGAACAAAGACACTGTAGAAAAAATGCAAAGTAGCTACTGCAGGATACGAGGGTGGTTTTGATGCACTAGAACTCGGTCGCAAAATTACAAACTGCCAAATGTTAATACAAAAAAGAAAAGACAGTGCCTTCGTTTAACCAAAAATTCCAATTGTGCTTTTCAAATTCACAATATCTTACGGCGATGATGTGTTCGCCAATTTACAAATAGCATTGCACATATGGTTGGTTGTTACTATCTCTAGTGTCTTGTGAGTGTTTCTTTCAGCAAACTAAAATTAATAAAAAAAATATCTTCAATGCATAATGGGGTCATGAGGGCCTCAGCAATTTGGCTTCATTAAATAAAATGAAGAATTTGGACATAATGTGGATGGTATTATTGACAAATTTTTGATCACAGCACCCGGTCGTATATCTCGACTTTACGAATTCAAATAGATGAAATAAATTGCTTTAGTCTTGACATCTTTTAAATCAGGTTTTGTCAATGCACAGTTTTTGTTGGTAGTGGCAGATCAAATAAAAATGTATTTCAAATGTATTTAAATACTTTTTCATATTTGTATTTGTGTGAAAAAGCATTTATATTTAGATTTTTGTTTCATTTCAAAAGTATTTGCTTTTGTATTTTTTGATTCTGGAATAAAATTATTTGTATTTATATTTGTGTTTCCAATTATATCGTGTCAATAATCATGAGAAGTAGATGAATTTCTAAAAATATTTAAAATTTTATTTATCCTGGCTTCTTGGCCACTGGTTGTGGTAGGAGGTACCAAATCAAGCTCTTGCCTCACCCTGGAACAAGACCATGGCATGCCACTGCCCAGCCAAATTACAGATGTGGCTGTTCTGTGCTGGGCAATACAGCTAAATCTATAATCTGTAAATCTTATCAAAATGCATAAGCTCTTGTTTGACTTTTTCATTTCAGAAACTCCCTGAAACTCTTGACCTCCAACAGATTGATGCCGATCGAGGCCGCCTCCGGGGCCAACTTGATGTGGTTAGTTTGATGTTGTTTTTGTCCATTACTGTACTTTTTACTTGCTCTAATTTAAAACATTATTCATATTTATTACTCTACTAATTCAAATTCACTAACTCCATTTTGTTATATAAACAGATTTTTTCATACAGAATAACACACACATGTACATATACAGTAAGTCCACAGATTATGACAATCCCAATCTGCAATGATTTGTGGTTTTATTGCAATCTCCATTAATCTAATTTGGACAATTTCCTTTTACATAAGGTAGAATGAGTCAGTTCCTGTTTGTACACCTTACTGGATTGTTGTGCATTTACTTCCTTTTGTTTGTGGAAACATATTGCCCTTCATTACGGCTCCCAAGAAACATAGTGTAACCTCTTCTGATAGCAGTGATTTGAAAAAAAGAAAAGCCATCACCATGAAAATTAAATTAGACATTGTTAAACGTTCTCTTAAAAGGGAGAAACAGTGATGATCATTGGCCAGTTGCTTGGCTTAAGTCATTCAACTCTTGCTTAAAATATGTGTATATGTCTTGTCACGAGCGGGGCGAAGCTTCAAAGTGTAATCGAATTTTCTCTGATGATCCTGGCTGCTGTATCATAAAAAAAATTTATATTTACGTCGGATATTCTATACCCAGGTTGGTTCAGGGATGTGGTTCAGGTATAAACATGGGCTCAGACAAAATTTGGTTAACAGAAAGAAAGCAGCAAAATAAAGGTAGCAATGATTTATACAAATAAATGGTGAAGATAAGACGATCGTAACAATAACAAAACAATTTAATTTGTAACTTGAGGGAAATGGATTTAAGAGTGGAGATAGTTTTGAGGTGTGATGGAATAAAATAAAATGTTTTTAAATTCAATGTTCTAGTGAATTAATGTTCACATAAAGAAGAAAGTTACAGAGTGATATCTCAGACAGTTATTTTAATATCTAAGTGAATTTATGTTCACATAAGAAAATTATAGAGAGCAATATCACAGACATTTCAATGTAGTTGGCCCTATTCTACAAAAGAAGATTATAATTTTTTTTACTTAGCTTTCTGTCCATTAGTTGCAATCCATCTTCTTTGTTTTGCCAAGCGTCTTCTGTTTTTTTTGTTTTTTTTCGCAGAGCGTTTTTAAGACTCTTTTTCTTGGTTGCCATGGACATTCTTGTCACACATATTGAGTTTCCCTATAAGAGATAGAACATTTGCTTGTTAAACTATAACTTGGTAAATTCCCAATAAAAAAGAAAAACAAACTCACATTAGTTTTTCTTCCTTCCTTAGATCTGCTGTTGCAAAAGAGATGAGATCTTATGTTTTGTCACCTTATCTATTGAGAGTCAATGACATCACTGGCAATAAATATACAAGCTGCTTAAAACAATTTAATTTCATTATATGCATTATGTTTATGTCCTCTGTGTTTTTTTTGTCCTAATTATTTTAGCATGTGTCAAAGAAATGTCATATGTCCTAGATTATTATTTTACTATTTCATTAGGAAATGTCCTGAAGGGGCATGACACATAGAAAAAAAGTTGATGTCATTCTACCTCGGCAATTGCAGCTTGATCATTTATGAGACAGATTTTTTTATGAGATATATATATATATATATATATATATATTTTATATGTGCATACATACAACTGTTCACCTAATACAAGGCCCAAGGGCCACTCAAGGTAGAGGCTTACTGAATAAGATTATTGTAAGAGCATAAAAGGAGGAAGTAAGAAGTGAATATTATGGGGATATGTAGGTAGATATATATGTGACTCTAGACTTGAAGACGTTGTACTGAACAGGGACGCATCCTCTCAAGAGTTCCATAAATTGTCAGTTCTCTGGAAGAAGCTGTCTGAGTGGAACTTCCTTCTTATCAGTAGAATACAAAGTAAATGAGAATGGATTGACCTTGTGTATGTGGTATGGCGGGTCCTAGCTGGGAAGGTAAGCAGTGTGTCTCATTTGGACATCTACCATGAAAATAGTGTTAGAGTAGTGAGAGACTAACCACATTTTGTCTGTGGAGAAAAGAGCTGAAGAGTGGAAGATAATTCATCACCCACAAGGTTGAGTAAAGACATTTGAATTCTTTCAAGGCTGGACAGCTACGACCCAAATATGGCAGCAATATTCCATTTTTGAACTGATGACTCATGCAAAAATAAAACATGGCAGGAGGAATCCAGTACTTCCAGAAGCAGTACAGGGACTTTTTCCATCATCTTTAGCAATGGTACAAATATACGAGTTCCACTTGAGGTCTGGAGTGTGCTTTAGTCTCAATAGACATTCAAGGCAAGGAGCTTCATTTACAGTGCAACTGTTCATCAGGACAGGAGTAAATTTAGAGTCTGCTCATTAGTGATGAAACATTACTAGCTTTGTTTTTGATGTACTTTCTCATATTGTATAAGGTTTATGGGGATATCATGTTGAAAGATCAGTTCTCATACAATCAGTGAAATTAAGCAACATTGAGTCTGGTTGGGTGTCTGAATACCAGGTTAATATATGCTTGGTTGTCAGGTGTTCTACTGGATAACAGGCCAGAATTGGAAGTCTGAGAGCTGAGTTCAAAGTCATTATATTTACTTATGCACAAATACTCTTGCGGAAAGGTATCAACCCACCTCTTCACTCCACCAACTATGGATTAATTAGTAGAACTTGTATTGGTAAACCATTATTATCTCCCCAAAATAATAAACGACATCATCAGAAGAGGTCTGGATACAACTGGGTTCCCCTCCCAAATCAAACACACAGGCTTTGACTGTGGTGATGGAAAGCGGCCGGATGGAATTACTATTTTCCCTTTTAAAGTGGGGAAGTCATTGATTCGGGATGTGACCTGTGCCAATACATTTTCAACTGGTAATTTGATCAGGTCTGGTTGAGCTGGGGTCTGTTGCACAGGATGTAGAGATAAAAAAAAATAGTTAAATATTCTTCTCTTGCAGACAGATTTATTTTTACTCCAGTGACAATAGAGACTTCTGAGGCTATTGGTCCTTGTTCGATAGTGTTCCTTCTGAGGGTTGGTGGGATTAAAGTACAAGCCTTGTGAAATGGAGCAGCTCTTGCAGCGTGTCTCACTGGCGATGGTGCAAGATAATACTTCCTCCATCATTGCAGCTGGTAGAGGTTAGAAAAAAAAAATTGTTTTAGATTATTATAATATATTTATTGTTTATACATTATTTTTTTATAGATACAAATATTTAAGTAAATGCTCTGTTTATAATAAACAGTATTAACAATATTCTCCCCAATAATGTCTTACAATCTAAAAATATTTTCTGGTTTTAAATAACCTGCAAAGGGTTGATAAGCTGTAAAAAAAAAAACAAAAAACAAATCTGACAAATTGCATAGAAATGTGGTACATCTGGGCATTTTTTTTTTCTTAAAAATGGCCATTGTGTTTATATCCTTTGTTCTTCTCTACTACGAGCTGACAAAGCCCACCCCCATTCTTCACCGAAATGGAGAAAGTGTCAGTTTCCTTATGGGGGATACAAAGTTTCTGAAAAGTTGATTAACAGAAATGATGATTTTGTTGAACTAAATAGTTCCTTCCAAAGTTCACAGGTTTTATCATATTTTCTACTGCATCCTTCAGTGAAGAACAGTCTTTTTCAGTCAAGATTATAACCTATTTAATTAATTAATCTCATATTGTGATATCCTGTTCAATTTCAGGTTTCCCGGAAAGTCTATGAGTTGGTGCTTCAGAATCATCCTGCCTATGCCACAGAACTTCAGAGAGTCATGGAACTTCAAAGAACCCTTCAGCTGGCAGGAACTATTTGTGGAACAGGGCGCAAGTATGTTTTCAGACTTCTTTTTTTGTCTTCCTTTCTTGCATGAATTAAATACATTGTTTTCCACTTAGTGATGATATTTTCAAGTATATTTTCCTTTCCTCCCAAAATGAAGATGTTCATTTATCTCTCTGCCATGTTTATCTGTAAAGAGTAACCAATTTTTTTTTTTTCATTTAAAAAAGTTTTGTTTGCAAAGATCATTAAACTTCTGTCATTGCCACTCTTCCTCTTTTAATTTGCCATCTTTTTTCAGTATAGACTCTTAAATTTTGCTTATGGATGCATCATATTGAAATACTGATTCGCATACAATCACTGAAGTTAAGCAAAATTGAGCTTGGTCAGTATCTAGATGGGTGACAGCTTGGTAATACCAGGTGCTGCAAGCTTGCCTGTGCAAGTGATACAATGGATAATGGTTCGGAATTGTTAATCAAAGAGCCAAGTTCCAGTTGGGTTTGTTATATTCACTTATGCACAAATAACCTTGATAAAAAGTATGAATCCACCTCTTCTCCCCCAGATGTGGGTTAATTAGTAAGACTTATATCACTAAAACCATTATTATCTCACCCAAAAAATAAAATTGTGAACAAAATATTTAGATTTTTGACATTAAATAACCCAGAGAGTTTGATATGCTGCTAGATAAACCGCCCCCCCCCGCCAATTCTTAGAATCTAAAAATAGTTTCTGTCTTTAAACCCTACAAAGGGTTGATAAGACATAGAAAAGGAATCAATGATCTTAAATTTTCTTATTGTGACTGGATTTTTTCGGACTAAAATTATTGAAATTCTTTTTTATAAGAATAGTTCATATGAGGTTTGATCAAAAGGTATCAGATTGACCTTGAACTTGGTCACACATACATAGTTATAATGTTCTTGCTCACTTCTCTTGTTTATAGTAGTGCTTGGAAGGAAAGTGTGTAGAGTACACTCCAGATGTGTCAAGAGTAGAATTTAAAGAGAATTTACAAGCATAACATTATTCTTTATCAGCAGAAGATATCAACATCTCAAATTGAGTAAAAGAGGAGGGACAGAAGACTTACTCTTATTTACCTCACTATTACAGATCCTCTAGTAGTCATGTGAACCAAACTTGTTAGAGGCTTTACAATGCCTCATTCTATCAGGAAAAGCCTCTTTGAGGACACATTTACAATTATTTCAGCAATCACATATAGGCTTTTGTTGTAACCGGAATTGTCATGCTGATACACCTGGAAAAATCTATGGCCTATAGCAGTTGAACAGGCTGGTGTGAACCAAGGAGAAGATTGTGTTTTCACTTGATATTTGTGAGAAGGTACAAATGCGTCAATGCTGGCTTTAAATTAAGAAAAAAAAACCCTGTGGCACAATTCTCAGTTAGGAAGATTAAGAATATCAATCTAAAGAGTATCTCAAATAAAGTCACAAAATGAATCCCAATCAGTATGCTGGTAACATATAGAAGTCTTGTGAATAAGAGGTTCCTTTCTAATAGATAACCCAAAAGAAATATGAATAGATACTATAGTGTGATCCAAATTGCTAAGAGGATAGATTGTAGTGATCAGGGAAACATCATCTTGGGAATATGTTCCTTAAAGTAGTGATGGTTTTGGAAGAAGCTGCCTAAATCGAACTTCCTTCTTATGAATGGACTATGAAGGGAATGAGGATGAGTTGACCTTGTATACATGATATGGCAGGTCTTAGCCTTAAAGGTGTCTACTAGTGGAACTAAGAAATGCACTTTGTCAGAACATTTTCCATGAAAAAGACTAATGATTGAATAACATGTCTTGTGACGTTTCATCTGTGGGATAGGGGTTGTCAAAACTGGAAAGTGAGGATTGAGTAGTAGTACTCCATTATAGGGAAAGTTTTACTAAAGAGAAGTAATTACTTCTATTTCAAATACTTTACTATAATATGTTTATTGTAATTGATGGCATTTAAGAAAACCTTTCACTTTGTCCAAAAATTAGCTCCTGAGTCTTATAGATTAGTTAAGCAATCTTGTAGTCCAATGTTCATCCAGCTACTGTATACTACTAGGATTTTATACTTAGCCAAACTCTATGATGCTGTAAAATTAAATGTAAGTCATGAGTGGATTCTTACATGCTGTCTAATATTGTAAGTGATGTTTTAGTCAAGTTTATTTACATCTACTTCTTACTAATGCTTTAGAAAAGCATGAATTGATTTCATTCTTCATTCTGTCTTGTTACTTGATGTCTTCACAATGTCATGTTACTGGCATGCCATAATAGCTGAGGAAGTGAATGAGAACTTTGGAAAATCACTCTTCCCTTAAATTTCTTACTTGGAGTAACAATAAAAATCTCTTGATTGTTAGCAGCCCTGACATGATCCAGCCACTTCTTTCAAAAGAAAATTTTGTCTTAAAAACAGGATGGAAAAAATGATTTACAATGAGAATTTTATGAAATCTCTCAACCTACCAAATTATCCATTTCTTTGTCCTTTTATGTGTTTCTTTTCCTTAAACTCTTGCACAAATTGTTCTGCTGGGGCTCCACTTATACAAGAAATTGTTTTGAAAATGACCCTGAACTAATGACAACTGATGGATCTTATTTCTTGCTAATATGTATATCTCGTCAGCTATCATCATTGTCATATAAAGACCTGCATTTGGGCATTCACTTTTTTCTTTTATAATCATTTCACCCAAATCAAGGTGATAAAGCCACTAAGACGCAAAGGGTTACTAAAAAGTGAAAGGAACTGAGAAAATGATATTGAGGAGAGAGGATTTTTTTCCACATTTTTCTACCCTGCTCTCATCAGTCACCAATCAGGAGAGGTAATGCAGTTTCAGTGGCTAAGGCAGTACTGACACCCCTGGTGCCACCAGCAGCTTTTTCCACTGGACAGGGTATTGTTTTTCATTGTACACCCCCCCCACACACACACACACACTTTTTTTTTTTTTTTGTTTTTAATAATCATTTCACACCAAGGATGGTGTTAAAACCACAAAGACACAAGGGGTTACTGAGAATGAAAGAAACTGAGAAAACATTATTGTGGAGAGAGGATATTAAAAGTCAGATGACAAAGCCAGAAGAGAATTCCACATGCGAGAAGCACAAGAAAAGATTGTATTAGCGCTTACCGTTATTTCTAGCAATTTCATTGATGAGTCCAAGCTGACAATCTAGTACTGCATTAAAATTTGAAGTCCAGGTGCCAAAGAGGAAAGCTCATCAAAACAGTTACCATAAAAGTATTTATAGAAAAGGCAGAGGGAAGCTATGTTACAGTAGTGGGGAAAAAGGAAGTAAACAGATACAAGGAATTTTCTCTTAAAAGGAAATTAAACTTACCTATCTCAAGTTCAAATTGTAAACTGCAACAAAAGAATAATCTTGTTTGCTTTGTAATTTCTAATGCAGAAAGATATGACATTCAGTATTATGAGACCTACATATTTGGTGTAACAGCCAAATTGTCCAACCCACAAAATATTTAATATCTAAAATACCACTGAACTAATTGAGCTTCTTATTTCCAGGTTTTCAGATAAGATATTTAGCCATCTTGACACCATTTGTCATAAGAATCACTGAAAAACCTTTTGAATTATTCAGCTAGGAAAAGAACAGGTCATAATTGTTTTTTTGTCAGCCCCACTGTCTTCCCAACTGAGCAAGAGTGAGAGGAAAAAGATCATTCAGGCCTTCAGTAATGGTCCCAACATTCATATTCTGGCTTCCATCTTAAAAGTTCATTCAAGAACCATCAATAGAATTGAAAATAAGTTTAAAAATGAGGGAACAGTAGAGAGGAAAACTACATCATGAAGTCACAACAGGAAGAGGAATCATCATTTCAACTTAGAGCTAAAGAGATCAATTAGAAAAGATCCAACTCAATCCATAAGATGTGTGGCACGTGAGAGAGGAGTTTCACCTATGACAGTGAAAAAAGACTTGAAAATGAAATCCGACATGAAAGCTCTGACACACCTTTTAACTCCTGAACAGAAGGGCAAAGATCATCTTGAATAAGTTGGAAAATGATTCTGAAATAATATGTATATATTTTAACTTTATATTGATCCTTCATGTGCTTTCAATCCTTAGCTATGATTAATTAATGACGAACATGACATTTTCGTTTATGATCAATTTCCTCACAATTCTTCTGTTAAGCTTGGAGAGTAGCTATACATTCTTATTGCTCAAAATAGAGTCCAGTAGAGTTATAAAAGCCTCGGAGAATTCCAGTAAGATACTTTTAATCAACAATTAAAGATATATCAATACAACAGTTCAAAGCTTAATCTAACAATTGGACAGTTTTTCTGTTACACCCGGCACATATGTATTTTGATGGGCCAAGAAAAAATTGGCATGCTATTTCTCACAAGAACTACTGGGATGACAGACTCTTGTAAATGTTATAAATGTGATTTTCTCAACAAGCAATTAAAATTATTTTCATTAGTATACATCTTTTTTTTTTTGTTTTTCCAGACAGCTAATGAAAGCTCGAGAAAGTTTCACAGCCACAAGTCTTGGTCTTTTAGCCAATTACAGAAAGCGCCATCAATTAATGGGTTTGCTCAAATCTCTTCATACAATCAAAACATTGGTATGTACATTGTTTTTTATTAGAAAGCAATGTTCATCTACGTAATAAATTTCTTTTGCAATCAGACACTCAAGATTTATTTTTTCAACAAGAAAATGATACTAACTTTGTTCAAGAAAAAAAATTGAAGTGTATCTTGCATTGTTTTGTATCTTCTGTTCTAATCTTTTTATGAATGCCTGAAAGAAAGTGCTAAGCATATAATAGAATTATGTAATAATGCACAATATTGCATTTGGCTAAAAGCATAGATTATATAAATACTTTTCTTTACATCAATTCTATGTATTTATGCTTGTTAAAGAGATATAAACCATCTGGTTACTGTGTTTAATTCTTTAACTGTTTCTACTTAGGATTTCTGCCTTTTTATAGCGAATAAACATTCATTAATGACATATAACAAAAATGAATTAAAAAAAGAACTGTAAGTGTGACGGCCATATACTCTTTGGTCATCTTCAGGTGTCTATTGTTTCACTAATAAAGGATATCTGTTATTTTGTTGTGATGACAGTTCATGTTTGTTTTTGCTGAACCAGTGCATAGCAAAATCCAAGGGTTAGGTTTTTCAGATATACAAATATGGATGAGTCTGTGGTCATTTCATTTAAACACAAACAATACAAAGATTCTATGCCCACAAAATTTTTCATGAGGAGGCAATATGCCAAGAGTACAACACTTCCTGCATAACCGTGGGAGTTAAAACAAGGTCAGGAATACTCTGCAAGTGAACAGGAAAATATTGCAAATTGCCTTTAAATGCAAAACTGGATGATGTTTGGAAGAAAGGTTTTAGTGCCAACTAATAAAAAGTCAAAAGTATTTCCGAGTATAGGCATGACAAATACTTGCTCTATTCCCTGACTAAATGAACATGGAGTCATCTATATTTGTATGTCATAAAAATCCAACACTGGGATTTTATTATGTGCCTGATAATTGCCTAAGCCTGAAACTGGCAGTTACTCTTATCGTTCTTCTTAATCTATTTTTACAGTTGTATAGTTGTTCTGTTGGCTTGACATTGATTTTTTAAACTGATGTTTTGTGATAGTAAATTTGTTTTTGAATTTCTGGGATGAAGACTTCTTATTATTTACAATAGTTCAAATATAGATAATATAGATAACACTTTGTAGCAGAAATACAGACAGAAATTATCAAATCTGTACAGTGGTATGATACACCAATAGAGGCAATCAGAAAACTTATATAAAAAATTGTCATGAATGCCAAACTACTGACACACACACACACACACACACACACACATGTAGACATTAACGTTAACACTCAGCTGTGAGAGTCTGTTTCATGCTTAAATGCAATCCTCAGGCCATGTGTGTTGTGTTTTTCAACTATTTATATATGGTGGTTAATGATGCATTATGGGTAGAAGGTATGTTCTATTATCTTAATGGTTATTGGGTGGGCAGTAAAGATTGTTTCAAATTATTCTAGAAGCTTTTGAGTAGAAATAATTGTAGACCTGAATACTGTTATTTATAACTATTTTATAGTGTTATTTGTTAAACGTTTTTACTAGGATTTATTATTGATTACTTCATTATTTGTTGTTGATTATTATTATTATGTGTTTATGTGTGCCTTAAGATTGTTGCTGCTGGGTATTGATCTCAATGTCCACTTTTATATTTACATACATCAATTCCTGATATTTAGCACTTTAACCCATAAATGTAGCATATCATAAAAACTATATTTTTGTCACACAAACACACACTATATATATATATATATATATATATATATATATATATATATATATATATGTATGTGAAAAGTGTATATAAATATAAACAAATATATATATGTATAATTATATATTATATATGCATGGTACTTATTAGAAAGTGCTCAATATCAGAGATAGAGCTAACATATTTGGTTGGATAGATGTGAGTTTGTGACCCTGGGTTTCACGCTTTAGCGATCGTCAGACAAACTGATTAATGTTTTAAAAATTTGGGTTTATGTAGATTGCGTGTATTGGTGTTATTGTGGAAGTAGTGGGGAAATTTCGTCGTTTTGTCATTCATCGTACTAACGCAAAACATCGATGTATGCAGACACATATACATACTTGGTCGTCCGTCGGGACTCATACATATATAAACATATGTGGGCAGTTTCGGCTATGACACATGTATGTATAATGGGTGGTGTTATATCTATACATACATTTTGTATGTTGAAATCTAAACATTGGAAGTGTGGCCGGAAATGTCTCGTTGATGTGTACATGTCATATGTATTTTCCAGCCGGAAAATATTTCCTCGCATGTATGTATATGCGTGTGGTGGGGTTTGTGCAAAATTATGATAGGTAAAGATTATTATTATTTATATTTTAAATTTTTGAAAAAAAAAAAAAAATGGGGCTTTATTTGTTATATTTAAAGCTGGTTATTTGTTTGTTTTTGGTGACTGTGTATATGTAACAGGTAGAAATTTGTAATCCTTATTGGTTAATTTATATGGTGATGTTTAGTTTAATATTCAATGTGCTGGGTGAGAGGGTAGTTCAATTTAATAATGGGTTTATATGGTATGATGTGATAGTAATGTTTCAAGGGATTGGAGACAATGATAGCTAATAGTTATTGTAAATTGGTAGAAATTGTAAATTGGTAGAAATGATTAGTAACGGTGGTGGGAGAATGATAAAACCATGAATGTAGTTATAGTGGTGGTAGCTTGAACTAAAAAGTGGTTGTTGGTGTTTTATTTTTGTTTTATTTTGTTATATGTATTAATTTATTTTGGTATAAATCCTGATAATAGGTATTCTGTGTAAAATTATGGTAGTTGGAGATTGCTATAATTTTTAATTACAAAATTATTATTGTTATTATATATCATAATATATATATATATATATATATATATATATATATATATATATATATATATATATATATAATTGATGAATTTCTGCATATTCAATAAATCTTAACTAAGAAAATGTGCTTACTGGCAGGGCCAGATCAAATTGTGGTTTCTCTTACAAAGGAGCCATCCTGGGTATGACGATAAACTACATCTGTGTCCTGGGTTAGACGATAAACTACATCCAGTAGCAAGGCCTCTGATCAGGAAATTTTGGAACCACCTCTTAATTGCTGGTATTCCCAGGTCCACTGGAGTGATAGCACCTGTTAGGGTCCCAGCTATGGGCAAATAGTTAACCCCCAAACTGGGGTCAAAACACTATGAAAGTGTAAAAATAGATTTTAACACCAAAACTTTTTTTAAAAAATTACTGCCAGCAATACATTTTTGAATAAAAAAAATATTACCAAAAATAGATTTATGAAGGAAAAAAATACTACCAGCAACAAAAATTTTGTTGGCATTAAATAACCCATCAAGGTTGATATGTTGTAAAAGAAACCAAACCAATTACAAAGGGAGATGCAGGTTCAATCCCTACCATATATAACGATAATAATTGGAAAAAATATATTTAAAGACTCATAAGTGAAAAGATTAAGAATTTAACAAAATATCAATTTCATATATACTACCATTTTGAAAAGTATGGGTAAACACATCAATTTATAAAATATAAGTGTTTTATATGTGTGAAAACCTAGACACGTGTGTAAAAAAAAAAAAAAAAAAAAAAAAAAAAATGCTTCTTATTTTTATAATTAATCTTTTTATCTTTCTTCATTTAGCAAAGAACCGATCTGAGACTTCGAGAAATGCTTGAGGTATGATTAGTTTTTCTGTGTTTTTTGTTTTATTTAATAGTTATTGATATTTCTCAATTTTGTTTAAATTTTTTTTTCTCATAAAAGCCAAATAAGTATTTCTTTTCTTAAGAAAATTCTGTAAAAACCAAAATAAATGGTAACCTCAAAGTGCAATATCTGGGGAAGTGAAAAACTTTCCAGTCAAGGTGTAATATTTTTTTTGTCTGGTTACCAGAGAAACACATTCCACCCTATATTATCTTCATAGATGAGCACTTTGATTTGGCATAATTGCTAGCAAGATTATCAAGGTAGATCAGTTAGTATATTCTTTCACTATCTGATCCAGGGATTGAACTCCTTCTTCCATCTTAAAATCAATAAACCAAAAATTCTAATTCTAATTTTGAGAAAATTCTTCTTTTTTTTTTTTCAGTATGAGTTGATATGACAGTTATCAAAATATAAATAAATACAATCTTTCCAAAGAAAATTAGTTTCAACTCTTTTAATGCTATATAATAAGAAAAACAGAACCCTTTAGTTATCTAAGACAACAATTTTTTTCTTGTATACATTGAAGACATCTATGAACAAATGTGGTAGGCAAAACATTAAAAACTTCCTGATAAAATTCCATTAATTTACAACAGTTAAAGTCCCAAAGTTGTACAAATTGCATTAAAATTATTTTATCTTTTCTAAATTTCTTGGAATTCTCCTTTTCAATGTTTAGTACACATTAAGTTTTGTTTAGAAATTAACATTTGTTTCATATTTTACGATTATATATTTTTGATTACTTATTTAAATGTCTTTATTTTTCCTTTTATTTCATTTACTGCTTTTGTTTTAAAATTATTTTAAAGAATATTGTATGACTATTCTCACAGAAACTGTTAATTCAGTCATTAATCTGTAAAGTTAATGAATTAAGCAATCTGCTCATATTCAGATGCACTAATATAATACACTAATATTACAATATTGAAATATTTCCTTTTACCATCTTTTCAGGAAGAAGATTACAGTGGAGCAATTCAGCTCTGTCTGGAATGTCAAAAGGCAGCCAGTACTTTCCGCCATTTTCATTGCATTAGGTAATTTCATTTCACAAGCATAGTTGTTGTTTGATTGGCTTTTTTTTTTTCTTTTTGTTACCTTTTTAAATTCTATTAGAAATGAAGACTCTGTCAGACTTAATTTTATAAAGTGTCAAAAAAAACAAACTGTTTTCGTCTGTCATTATATTTGTTTAAAAACCAAAATCAAACCATAAACAAAATTGCTACTGTGATCTACATTTCATTAAAATATTTAAAGTTAAAATTAGTTGTTCCCATACAGGAAACATTCATCATTCATTGACCAAAATTTACCTGTTAGTTGAAATTTACAAACAGTTTTTCAGGAAATTAATCTTCTCAGTACCTTTAATCACCATTGCTCGTTTTAGTACTGATGAGCTTTTCTCCAAATCTGTTGTCAGCTTACAATATCTTTTACAATGTCTTTATACACGTTTTCTTTGATGGTAATGATAAAATTAGTCGTTTCCATACAGGAAACATTCAGCATTCATCGACCAAACAATTAGTATTGGTTGAAATTTATAAAAAATTTTTATTGAAACAGTTTTTTAGGAAAATAGGTTTTCTGAAGTTCACTGTTATTGCTCTTTCTAGTATTGATGAGGGTTTCCCTTCTAACTTTTTGCTTTTGGTAGTGTGGAATGTTTACAGCTGGATTCTGTCCTGACTTTCTCTTCTAATTACATGTGCTATCCATTTTTGTTGTTGCTGCTGCTGGAAATAATCACTTTTTATTTTACACTTGAGATTGATTGATTTAAATAACCTAGAGACTTCATGAAATTGATCTTTGTGATTATTTGATTTTGAAAATAAAAGCCTCTTCATAGAACAAAGGACATTTAGATGCTCTTTCTCTTCTCAACTGGCCATGGCTTTTACTCAGCTTAAAAAAAAAAAAAGACATTCATAATCCAGCTAAAAGATCTCCCTTACTGTGTCCATTATCTTACTACTAAACTCTCAGTATTATCGAGTTCAGTTGTTGTCATATAGATAAAATATCCTTAAAGAAAAAAAAAACGAAAAATAGAATAAGATTTCTTTTGTGATTTATGTTAGCAGAATTGCTTGGGATTTCAGCCTGAATTTCTAAGATGATGAATCATTACTGAATGAGAAAGCAGCATACCAACAAAGTGATGCTAAGGTACAAATATATGAAACCTAATATACACATCATGACACCCAACCTAATAAGGATATGCCAGGTACATCTATCACAGCCAAATGTGTGTAATAATGTTGGTAGGTTTTGATAAAAGCAGCCCAAACCTTGCAGGTGGTGCCTAGTTAGAGTAACTCAGTAATTAGGATGATACATTTGTCATTAGTATGAATAGTAGTTAGCGGGGATATAATTGACATTGGTATGATTAGCAGTTAATACATTTGTCATTAGTATGTTTAGTAGTTAAGATGATACATTGTCATTGGTTTGATTAGTATTTAGGGGCATATAATCAACATTGGTATGATTAGCAGTTAGGGAGATACTTTCGCCATTGGTTTGATTAGTACTTAGGAGGTTACATTTATCATGAGTATGGTTAGTAGGATACATTTATCATGAGTATGGTTAGTAGGATACATTCATCATCAGTATCATTAGTAGGACGCATTTTTCATTAGTATCATTAGTAGGACGCATTTTTCCTTAGTATGCTTAGTAGTTAGGAGAATATATTCGTCATTGGTATGACTAGTAGTTAGGAGAATATATTCGTCATTGGTATGACTAGTAGTTAGGAGAATATATTCGTCATTGGTATGACTAGTAGTTAGGAGAATATATTCGTCATTGGTATGACTAGTAGTTAGGAGAATATATTCGTCATTGGTATGACTAGTAGTTAGGAGAATATATTCGTCATTGGTATGACTAGTAGTTAGGAGAATATATTCGCCATTGGTATGACTAGTAGTTAGGAGAATATATTCGCCATTAGTATGACTAGTAGTTAGGAGGTTACATTCATCATTAGTATGATTAGTAGGAGGATACATTCATCATTGATATGATTAGTAATTAGGATACATTCATTACTAATATGTTTAGTTCGGAGGCAACATTCATTGTTAGTATGATTACTAGTTAGCAGATGCACTCAGCATTAGCATGATTAGTAATTAAAAGGATACATTTGTCATTAAAATTGCGTCCCCAAAATGGAAATAACTTATGACTCAACCTCATACTTTGCTTTTCATTTACCAATGTCTGCTTAAGAAATAAACAGCAGCTCGTAAATCTAAATGAAAGGTTAATTCCATAAAAAAAAAGTCGAATAATCCAACGATTGTCAACAAGGAAAAAGTAGATCTAATAATGAAACTGTTACTATGACAAAACTCATTACTAGATCGACTATTTCTTTGTTGACAATAGTTGGTTCATATTATATATGTATTATACTACAGAAATGAAAAAAAAATCAATGATGTAGTATTTTAATTATGTTACAGTTTAGTACCAGAGTATAAAGTTGTTAAATAGTCATGTCAAAACTAAAACTTTCTTCCCTGATGTCTGCAGTCTTCTCATTTGTGCCTTCAGAATGTGTTCTTTTTTTTATTTCTCAGTTGTAAACTTAATAGTCATTTATAATCTGCTTGTATATAAATATATTTGCATCTGATTGCCTTTATTTCAGTGAATTGAATTCCAAGTTACAAGATACTCTTGAAATGATTGAAGAGCAATTAGATGTGGCACTTTCCAAAACGTGTAACAATTTTGATGTGGGGCATTACGAAAAGGTGCAGACGGCATACAGACTTCTAGGGAAGACACAGGTAAGTCCCCCCCACTCCCAAAAATATGCATCTTGCTACAACATAAAAACAAAATTTTTATATTAGTTAAACAAATCCATTTGAAAACTTTATATTCAAATGTTAATTTGCTGCATAAAGTCTTGTTTGATGTCTATAAAGAAGAAATTATTAAGCTTCTCACTGTCTACATCAGTGTTTCTCAATGTTTTTTTTACTTCAGGGTGCACTTGTAAAATAACTAAAACTCTGGGGCCCACTTTAAATTTTACTTTCTGCGTCCCTACAGCCCCATCAAAATTTGTTTCAAGAAAACAATTACACAGTCATATTTTTGCTTGTTATTTATTCTTGAAAAAGACATGAAATTATTTTGGCTTTAACTTTTTGCGATAATGATTCAACATCAGAACATCCTGTTCTCACTTTTCTAGATATCACCTTCTGATATACACCTGTTGGTAATGTATCTTAAATGATGTATTTTTGTTTCTCAAATCTGTTGTATTTTATATTCTGTTTGAAATATTTTATACAGTTATTGCTTGAAATAAGCTTATTCATGCTCCAGATGATAATTTTCTTTTTTGTGTTTGTAATACTTTCTTATGAATTGTATTAATTAACCATTGTTCATTTCTATTTTGGTGTTGACTTACATTGGTAATTCTAATTTGAAATTTATTTGTAAAATCTCTTTTAATATTTATTGTACCCTCCAATCCACTTCAGATGTCTGTCATCATACATGGTAAACACCTTATTCAATTGAAGGAGGTAAATTGTTCTTATTTTGCATACTATGCTTAGAAGATATTTTTATATCGGTTAATACTCTCCAGTCTTATTAACCTTTGTGTTGCTTGTCGGTTTCTTCCACCAGTATGGTATGTGAATTTTCAGCACCACCAACTTGGGGATTGAACTCACAACTGCTAGAGAATGGGATATGTTTTAACCAATGTCTTAATTCACTAGGCAATGTGTGTCTCAGTATAAGAATGTTCTAAAGAGTTCACTTCAAAATTTTGAAAAAGTTACCAAGTATCGTGTCAAACATCTAAAGAAGGCCAGAGAGTACATCAGCTGAAACATTGTGAGCATAAGAACCAAGATTAGCATTCTTATCGAAATAGTAAGGCATATTAAAGTCATAATTCCTGTATTTAAAAAAATTCCAACATAAGAACTGTTTTAAGTCATCTATGTTACGTGAATAATTTAAAAGTAAATCCCCCAACACTATTGAATTCTTTGTAGATGAAAACAACGCCATGTAGATTTCCATAAAATAACGCCATATAGATTTCTATGTCATTAAAGTGGTTCGTTTTTGTGAGTGCAGAAATGCCTCTGTAACTTTGTCAAGGATTGAAATATTTTTTTTATTTAATTAAAAAAAAAATTAATTCCAAGTAATCTTTAATAATGAAAATATTGTGTTGCAACTCACACTAGACATCAGGTTTGTTGACAGGATTCAATTTCTTGTAGTTAAATGCTTTTGGTTTAAAAATTACCCTTTGGTCAAATCATTACCCACAAGTGAAGAACAGAACAATTTCTGGCAGTAAACCAGATTTTATTCATAAGTAGTAACTTGCTGCTATAAGCAAGCGAAATAGGGTTGAGGTGTAAGTGAAGGGGAGGTGCACAGTTCAGCAGCCATTGTCCCTGTTTGTCCTTCTGTTAAGTTCCATTTTGTCCCTTCTGTTTGCCTTTGTGCAGGATGTTCAGTTTTATAGACAAGTTTTTCTTTATGTCATCTACATCCAAAAAGTAATTAACCTTTGTCTTGCTGCAGGCTAAAATCGTTGTCATAGATTTCTCTCCCTTTGCAAGTGTAGTTGCATTCTGTCGCCTCAAGAGGATTGCTATAAATAAACACTTGTTAACTGTTATTTCTGGTATTTTAAGCTGGAAATAGCCTACTACTGCTTTGGAATGAGGTTAAACTTCCATTTTCCAATGCCATTTTGAATTCTTCTACTCAAGATGCAACATCAATTAAACCCACATTGATTTTGTCATGATGGCCAACATTCAACAAAGTCAAGAGTTTTTCTTTGATTCGGACTCCAATGATGATGATTTTGAAGGCTTTACTCAAGCTGATGTTGACAAAGTTGTCTGAGATGGAGATGATAACTATGTTAGTGACAGGGAGGAAAACTATGATGACCACGAGGTGCCTAATGGCTACTGTCATCCATGGCTGACTAATTTTATGGAAACTACTGGCTCCTTGGATGTACCTGATAATCTTTCTGAAGGTAAATTATTTTGTCTACTTATAAATGACAATAACTTTATTCGTCAATGAGAGAAATAAATATGCTAGTCAGATTAAAGAAAGAGGAAACAAATGCTGATGTCTACTCATATATAAACACATGGAAGGATGTCACTTTTGACAAAATGAAAGCCTTCATAGCCATTTTGCTTCTTATTGCACTCCAGAACTCCACAAAAAGTAATAAAAGTTAAAGTATGTTAAATTGTTAATGTATTTGTTTTTTATTTTGTATTTCAATTTTTTGTTTTCAATGTCAAAACATGCATGCAAAACGTAATGCATTACATCAAAATATTATTCATCCATTCTTTTATTAGTATACAAAAATTAAAATCTATACGCACAATACAAAGAAAGTTATAGCAATTTTAAAATAGTATATGCTCATGTTTTTTGCGCCCTCAGAAAAATGCGGTGATAGAGGGAACAATTCTAGAAAGAATTTAGTGGGAATCAAGGTTAATCTTTCTTCCATTACGTTCTCTCAGTCTGAGCCTCTTGCTCTTGTGTTTTAAAGTTGACTCCAATTACTGATAGACATCTGTCAAAAGTAAATGTTTCATATCATTTTAAACTTAATGTGACCTCAGCTTCACACATATTGCTACAATATTTAAGAGGATAAAATGTAACAGACGACAGTAAATGTGACATAGAAATCCAAAAGTGTATAGGATTAGTGAAAAATGCCTTCCAGAAAGTAAGCAAAGTATTAAGAGATAGAATAATTTCATTAGAAATAAAAAAGAGTGCTAAACTGCTATGGGATATCGAATATATTGGAAACTATATGATATCAAGTACATGTTAGTCAATGCTGGACAATCTCTTTACAGATGAAGAAGAGACTTGAAGCAACAGTTATGTGGTTCAACTAACAAATATTAAGAATACTAAAGACAGAACATGTAAACAACAAGGAAATCTTAAAGAAAATAGGAACTGCAAGTCAGGAGTTCAGATTCTAGAATACGATGTAGAAAGAGGGCCTAGAGAGTTTGGCACTCACAGAACAAGAGATGCAAAGGGAAACAGTAACTTAACTAGTTTGTGGGAATGGATGACTCAACAAGGAATAAGAGTGATGGTAAAGATTCAAAATTACTTTGAGCAAAAAAAAGAAAGGAAGTTGCAGATAGCCATTATCACCCATGTCCTGGAAGGTTAATAAAAAAAAATGCCATTATTAACAAATTGAAACAATTTTGTAACTTTTTTTAATATCTTATAGGTTGCTATGGACCAGTTACATATGCATTATACCAGTGCTATCCATAATACAGCATTCACTATTGTCCTTGGATACGTTGAGCTCTACTCTGGAACTGGTAGCACCAATTTCCAGAAAAAACAATATTCTGATTTATGCGAGGTAAGTAAATACATACAATATACCCATGAAAAGAAAACAATGTTTTTGTGTGTGTTTGTCTTTCTCTTATTCCTTTTTAATTGTCTTGGTTCTCATTGTCTATATGTGCATCTCATTTGCAGTAATTTTTGGCAGTTGCATAGCAAAGCTGACTCCTAACTTCTATTTACATTTAAATTAATATTTGCATTGTTGCTTGTGACGAATGGTTTTTAAAGCTTCTGTATGTTTTGAAAATTTACCTTTTGAACCAGACTCATTAAATGGATACTTTTTTTTTTTTTTTTTTTAAACTTTCAGCAGCATTATTGGTCTCTTTTCTCTGACATAATTTTTTTAAAAAATCACAAACTTTCACAAAATATTACTTAAAGATTACAAAAACAAACATGACAACACAATGTGGTCTTATAAAGAAATATGTCTGCAACCCTATCGGTAACGATTATCTCTACTAAATAAGTCTTTGAATTGTCAATTAATGTTCCAATACAATTCAACTTGTACACATTTTTGTATTTTTGCTACTTTTATCAGTAATTTTGAAAAGTTTTGAAAAATGCTTTCCTAAGATATGAAGTGGAAAAAAAATGCTAAGAATGAATTTCTGGAATGTATCCTATCTTGGATTGGAATGCTGAATGACCAGATGGCATATTCTAGTCTTCTTCTCATTTGGTCTTGAAGACAGGTGTTCAGTATTCAAGTAGTCCTGTGTTCTTTTACTAAATGAAAGCACCCTTAAATGCAAGAAATTGTTGCTATTCCTCTTGAAATGATTCTGGAATTTCATTGAAGATATTCAGTCAGAAAATATTTGTTATTCTAATCAGTCAGTCAACTTGACAAGCAGGTCAAGTCCACCCACAATAACAATTTGCCATCTGAAAACTGCAGGCTTACTGTTTAGAACATTGTCAAATTATAAACATTTTTCCTACACTCTTACAAAGATGATGTAATCTGAAATAATTGGCTTTTATTTTAAATGTTTGGCCAATAGTTTTTTTATCACTAAGAAGAAAGAAAACTGATTCAAATGTTTTTCTTTTGCTCTCTGGTAATTCATAATTGGTACTTTTTTTAGTATCTGGATTTTGGGAAAATGTTATCAAGAACTATTTTTATTAAAGACAACACAGATTTATTAAAACATTGACAAAAAAAACAATGTTGGTCATCTGATGCTTAAAAACATTAGTAATATTTCAAAACTGAAGTCTTTATGTTGTAAAATCATTTTCAAATGCAATAAATACATGGTTGCATGCATTTCTGTTTAATTTCTCAGTAACAGAATTGTTTTAAATTTTACTTGAAAGTGTATATATATATATATATATATATATATATATATATATATATATATATATATATAATTTTTTTTTTTTGAAATTTATTTTAATCTAGCAAAATGCTTTTAATGGCAATTTTCGTAAAAGCACATATCAAATGGATAATTTATGATATATATTTTTTATTTTATATAAAAACAAAATACAAAGAAAAAACTTTGATTCATTCAACATTTTCACTTAAATTCTTGTTATTTTATTATTATTCATTGGAAAAAAAAAAAAATATATATGATTTAAAGATTTGCAAGGAAAAAATCATCCTTGGTTTTTACAAAAAATACATTAAACACTTTTTTTTACAATTAAAAACTTTCCTTGATATTTGAATTTCTTGATTATTCTGCAGTAAATAATATTCTCATCAGTATTTAAAAATTTCTATTTTTCTAATTTTAGAGTAATTTTCTCAAACTTTGTTTCATAGCTACACTGTGTGTGTGTGTTCTTTTTTGTTGTTTTTTTTTTTTTAATGTACAAGGGAAAGTAAAAAATTATCCACATTCTTGTCTAAAAATATGTTATGGCAAAAGTTTGGATAATTTTTTACTTAACCCTGTGTATATATGAAGTAAACCTTTTAAATTAATTGAATATTGAGCTTGGAGTAAATTCCAAAGTTTCTCTTAATCTGCTTAATGCTAACTGCTGCCTTAAATATTTGAACCATTAAATAATACCATCTATGTTTTTGTTAGCAATATATTTTCATAAGTACATCAACCAAGTTAAAAACAAAAAAAAAAAAATTCACACATATTCTCTCAAATTTAAAATTGGTAATGCTGTCTACTGATTATTTCCTCTCATTCATGTTAATATAAATTAAAAAAATAAACTAAATGCAAACATAAATTATTAAGTGATCCCTAAATATTTTCTGCCTTTACTGCATACTGGAAGATTCTGCTTTTAAGTTCCTGTTATTTGAGACAATTGTCTGGTGATATTATATCAATGAAAATTATTATATGAATGAAAAGTTAATTTGCATAATTCATGCATCTATGCCTCATGTAATTTATCATATTTCATTGGTATGCTCAACTGGACTTAAAAACTTTGAATGGTTTTTGTATGTATTTCCTTTGTTGATAACTAGATTTTATATTTAGTATTTCATCTCTACATTTGTGTTGAGATTTGAGTGTCTATGCATTTTTTCTTTAAACCAATTTTGTATGTGTCTATTTTACTTTCAAAAAGGTGTGTATGTATTTCTACTTATAAATCTGTATGTCTGTTTCTCCTTTTGTGTATGTTCCTACTAACAAATGTGTGTGTCTATATGTAACTGACACTTATTTAAATGATATATTTGGTCAATACTAGAATTTCACCTATTCGAAAATTTGTTTTTGGTTTTCTCTTTAAGAAAAATACTTGAAAAGTAATTCCATATATAAAACTAAGAATAAAAGTGGCATATATATATATATATATATATATATATATATATATATATATATATATATATATATATATATATATAGTGTTAAAGCAGCACATCATTATTCAAACATATATTGTTAAATATAACAGACAATGAATGTCTATTATGTTTGATCATGAGCCATTCTAAACTTCATATAGTTGGTTTAATTTTGGGAGAAAATAAAGACGAAAACTGTCCAACATTTGGATATTTTTTTTTATTATGCTCTTCCTTGATTTAAGCTTTTGGCTCACATGAGCCATCTTCAGAATCGTTATATGTGAGCTAAAAGCTTAGATCAAGGAACAGTATAATAAAAAAAAAAATATCCAAATGTTGGACAGTTTTTGTCTTTATTTTCTCCTGAAATTAAACCAACTATAATAAGTTTAGAACGGCTCATGATCAAATATAACAGACATTAGTTGTCTGTTATATTTGACAATGTAAGGGAATGCATGTCTGAATCCTGCTGGAGAGTGCATTTTTTTTTTAATAAGATATCTGAAATATTCAGGCGACTAGACAAAAATAAATAAATATACTGTTTAATAAATAAACATTATCTCCTCAAATACATATATCCACTAAAAAATAACATTTAAAGTGATAATATACATTCCCAGCAAAGAATTTTCATATTGTCCACAGTATAAAGTCTAATTTAAAAGCTCCCATTGTATTAAGAACATTGGGATCAGATCTATACCCTCTGCATAGCAAAAGGTGGGAATAGACAGAGTTTGTCCTTTTTTCATGTATACATGAAGTTCTTATTTAAAAAAAAGAATAAATAAATAAAAAGCATGTCACATTCTGTTAAAGCAAGAAAATTCTTAAATATCTCTATGAATATAATTTACATCAGAAAAAAAAAATATCTGGAAAAAATTTTTTCACAATTTGTCTCTTGATTGTTTTGCTTTATGAGATGAAAATAAAATTTTCAGTTTTCTCTGCATTTTTTAAAATGTTAACAGTTTTAGCTGTTGATTGTAAAATTATCCCTCATCATTCACAACACGCCAACTGATGTGAACTTTGGTTATCACTATGAATATCTCTACATAAACCACCTGGTGTATCCCTTGTTCATCTCACCACTTTCAAGAAGCTCACTATCTCCAAGTTGCTATGGTTAAATGGCTAATACCATGTGTATAAAATGCCTTCTTTTTTATTTCCTGTGTCAGATAGGAAACTGCCATGTTAATGCTCTTGATACATTTGAAAGGGAAATGAAAAGGTTAGAATTTGGCACATGTTAATTAACATTACATTAAGTCAGCTTTCATTTATGGCCAATGAAAGATGTGTTCACCTCAAATCCCTGGCATACACTATGCTCTTGTTATTTACTTGTCAGTTCATAACTTAAATACGAGATTCTTAACCACATTAAGGGTCACCATTATATTCTGATTAATTAATTGTACATTAAAATTAATTGAATATAGCACTTGGAACAAATTCCAAAGTTTCACTGCTACCTTAAATATTTGAAATTTTACATAACACCATCTATGTTTTCGTTCACATTAACATTAGAAATTGCTATATGAGATTCAATCAATCAACTGCTTTGTAGACACTGCCAGTGGCGTATAAGGCCACAGCTCTACCACACTGTGTTGCTGCTGTGGTTTCCATAGCTGGCATTTCATGAGGTGGAGTTGCTAGCCCCTGTTCAACTGGTTTTGAATTCAGAGTTGGCCTTCTCCTAGACTGGTTGCCAACCAAAGCTAGAGAGTCCAGTCTGCCAGCTGCTTTTTAACCTCTAGCTGGAGAGAGAAGAGATGGATTCATACATTTTCATGAGTAATTGTGCAAAAGCAAACACAATGGGGTCAGCTAGAATTTGAATTTAGCATTCCACTCTCTGTCAATAATCACTGTCACACGCACACACCTTAAATAAGATTATTTTTGTCAATAAAACAAATTCACTGCTACCTTGGATACTCATACCCTTACATAATGCCATCTATTTTTTGGTTAGTTACCAATATAAACAATACTACTTATGCTTTATTTTTGTAATTAAAATTTATTAAGACATAAAATACAACATTAATGTCTGTCCTTGACATTGGCTTTTTTTCTTTGGTTTTTTTTTCTCCTTAATATCATGTGACACATTTGTGTGTCATCAATGCTTTTTACCAAAAAGCAGTCATACAAATCAAGATAAAAAAAATGAATGCTGTCAC